GAAGACTAAACGAGAACAGCCTGGAATGAAAGAATTCAAAGGCCCACCATGGCCTGTCAGGTCACTGAAGAAGCCTTTTGAGCTTTATTATGTTCATTTAGGAAAACATGGAAAAACCAAATTGTAGCCTTCTATCTGATCTACAAAACAAACTTACGCACAGTTATTTATGTTCATGAAATTATGCAGAGTCGTAGCTAGGGTTTTCAGCGCCCAATGACAACTGAAGATTTCGCGCCCCCTACTGCTTGCCAAGGATGGAAAACATTTAATTCTAAAATGTCGTAACATCAGTTTGGCGCCCCTTGGATTCTGCGCCCGGGTACAGATGCCCCCCTTTGCCCCCTCTAGCTACGCCCCTGAAATTATGCGTTAAGTTACTTGAAGTCCATTTGATCAAAAGAAAGAATGAAGAAGTACTCGTATTTAAGTAATATGAACTATAAGGTATGTACTAATAGTTAATTCGAGAAATCTATACTATTAGACTACAATAATGCATCGATTAAAATGCAATTAAAATTTCTTATATGAATTTATATTTTTTAACTAATTGGACGAAACATAATTGCACTTTATTCGAAAATATACTAAATAAGTGAAACTTTCCTACTTAGTAAAAGGAAAACCTACTTGCTATGTAGACCTAAGCTGTAAAGAACAAAAGCTTTTATGATCACTAAACCATCATCATATAACACTAAAATTTATGTCATGAACAGTTATATTTTGCTATCAAAATATCTCTAATTACTTTTACGCCTCAGAAAAGTTCTATAAGATTTTTTTCAAGCAAAAGATTGTCATTTTTACAGCAGAATTAACGTAAACGTTCTAGTAACTTTCCTGTGTATAATCCTAGGAGACATAAAGGAAAAAAACCTGGCAAAGAAAAAAGAATACGAAAATCGGAGTATCTAACACGCACTGGAGTGCGTTAAAAACAGAGTAAAAATTTCTATTTTATAAATGATCCATAATAAAAACGCCATTCGGTAATTAAATATTATCTGCTACGAAATAACTCGTGTTAAGATGAACAGCTTTCTAACGTTCAAGTAAAATATCATTGTCGATTATCGCAAAAAGCAAAAATGTAGTTGCCCGACCAGACCGGCGTATTCGACGGTCAACTATTAGAGACTCTTTCTTCACGTCACGTGACATCCGAAACCGCTTGCTCCAGGAGCAGGTGGATCTGTGTCCACCCAAACTATATGCAACAAACTGCATGAAGTACACTTACGTTCACGGGTACCAGCCACAGGGGCACCATTGACTGCTGAGCACAAGACTAGATGCATGGTGTGGTGTCAGCTTCATAGTGCATGGACCTTTGAATGGCATCGGATTTTGTTCACGGATGAATCTCGTTTCTGTCTGTGGAGGAATGACGAATACGGCGGTTACCCGGAGAATGCTACGAAAAAGCCCATTTCGCCGAACGTCACACCAGTCCTTGCACCGGGCATTATGGTTTGGGGTGGCATAATGTTTGATCACAAGACGCCCCTGGTACACATTATAGCAGTTTGACAGCGGATCGCTACGTCACGCAAGTTTTGGAGCCTGTTGTTCTGCCCTGGTTGCAGGGCGCACCCAATACGCTATTCCAGCAAGACAATGGCAAGCCTCATGTCGCACCGCATACTCTTAACAGCCTGACTGGATTTGACATCCTACCTTGACCGGCAGCCTGTCCAGATTTGAATCCTATCGAACACCTGTGGTATGTCATTAGACGTGACATTACCCGAGGACCACGGCTGCAAACCCTGGATGATCTGCGTACAGCAATGGATGTGGTTTGGCAAAGGCTACATCAGGCAACCATCAATGAACTCATTGATAGCATGCGTCGCCGGATTGCGGTCTGTATCGCTGTCCGAGGTGGGCACATGAGACGCTGAATAAATTGGTTTATAATGATTTTTCGTGTCAGATTTTTTTAATCATTTGCATATCCATCTCACAATTCTCGATCCTGTAATTTGCATTACGCTAAGAGCATCCTTTCTTGGTGTTGCAGTTTTACTTTTGAAGAGTGTATTTACACACTGGAGGGGGATACCAAAATAAAGCTATCTAGAGAGTTTGCACTCACAAAAACGTTTTCAAATCATCATGTTAGAAAACCGAATAAAATATATGCATTTACTTAAAATAGTTTCGTTGATTTAAAAGCTGCTGCTGCTTTTCCTTTCTGTTCGAGTCGACACGTGTTCGTCTAAAAAGAGAAAGGAAAATATACAAAGAGGTATCCGGTCAATTGACGTTAATAAATATTAACAGACACTGACTGCTGCCTTTGATGGATTGGTGCTCGTCGGCCGTACATTATCGGTCTGTGCTCAAAACTCCAAAGTTTCGCGAGTTTAAACATTTAGAGTTAAAACTGATCACATTAAATTTTCTGTTCATGCAAAAGTAAGTTCATGTAACTACGAGAAAATACACTTCTTTTTCAAGTAGAGACCAAAAATGTCAGTATAGAAGTAAACTTCTGCTTAAGTCATATAGATAACTTTTAAGCAGCCAAAATCGAAGCTGCCTGAGAGCTACAAAGAAAGGACTATTATAATTACGGAGTACGGGAATTAAAATTTTAATGCTTAAATGATTCCTTTAACGACCTGTTATCTTATCTGATTTGTTCATTATAGGCTGATGTATTTCTTATATTAACTCAATTGTTTTTTTTTGGGGGGGGGGACTTCTAAATTTTGGGGAAAATAGTTTCATACAGAATAATGTTTCCTAAACTGTGAGCAATGAGAGAAAAAAATCAGTAATTTTCAGAGGTGTTATCAAGTGCCAATGTGATGTTAAGAAATTAAAAAGTAAGTACTAAAAAGAGATTAATAATATAGTCAATGCATCTCAGTGTAGTCTATTGTTAAGCTACACGGAATATGTGCTCGCAAAGAAAGAATCCCTTTAATAAACCGATGGTAAGAATAGCAGATATCCAGTATGTTGATAATGCATTCAGGTCATCCTACGGTATTACGTTTGAACATCAAGAGTTATTTCATATAATCAAACTACAACTTTTCGTGCTTAAGAACAGTTCTTAAGAATAGCATAAATTAATCAAATCAAATGGAACTTCTTGAAAATCCTTCGAAAAGGATGATATAATATGGAAAATCTTAAAAATAAAAAAATTCTCTCTTCTCTGTCATATAAATCTACTTTTAGTTTTTCAAGCTTTGTTTTGTATGAATTGTGCTATTAACACGTTAAACTATTTACGCTGATTATGTACACTACTCTTGCGTGCGTACGAGGTCGTAATATATTGAATGCAAAAGGTTGAAGTAATAGGTTGATAAAATTTATTTTATCAATAGTAACATTTCATAGTTTTGGAGTTTTCCACAAAAATAGTCATATAGATCTTCACGGTATCACTGAGTAAAATCAGTATTTACACTTGAAACGACTAAGAACGTTGAAAAAAAAAAAAACGCAATGCAAAGCGCATCTAAGGAGCGAAGCTAACCCAGAGGTATTCCAGTACTCCACACTTGCGCTGAACTATATCAACTCACAGCTACAACTGAGAGCAGATGCTCTCTCCGGACTTATATAGTTTTCACCCGGCCGCCGAGATGTTTCTAATACTTTCTGCATCTCGAAATTACTGGAATGTATTTGAGGGCCGAATTACAGTTGCAGCTACACCAGATCAACAATTACAGTTACTCAATTACAATACATATTACGGTGCAGGCACCGAACCCAAATGTCTCCGAATGATCGCCAAGTTTGGGCACTTTTGGCGACTTCCCGTCAAATTTGGTGTCAAAAATTAGTCACCAAAACCGTTGTCGGCTTGACGATATCTCGCCAAATTAACGAGATAGCCATTTACTCAGTGTTCAGAAAACTATTTCATATAAAATTTCACTCAAATTATCTATATATGCACAAAATTCGTAACAATATTAAAATCTGTGCAGGTCTGTTTGTCTGCAACATCATCTCTTCCATAACGGCGTTGAGTTTCGAGAGAGGTAAACCTAGATTAAAAAAATTCGTGAGAAGCCATTTCGAGGGTTCTCATCTTCGCAACAATTTTAATCAGCTGATATATTAATTAAAACCTTCGAAAATGCTGTATTGGCAACACAAAAATTTATTTATGAATTGGTGCTGTGGGTTGCTCGAGATACTAATTATTGATTGTTTTGGTTTGTTGCGAGGTATTAAAAACTCTGCAAACTCTAATTTGGCAACAAAAATTTTATTTATAAATTGGTTGTTTGCTCGAAGAGGCGCGCTCATGTAGCGGGTTTACTAGCTAGTTTATTCCTTCTTTTCTGAATATTGCGAACATAATAGAACTCATATGATGTCAAAGAATCAAACAGTGATATGAAAGTAGATATAGTAAAACCTTTACGAACGGTATTCAAAAATCAGCAATTTGTTTCTGAAATTCTTATATTTTAGTGCAGCTAGAAATTGCACTGATGCAGCATAAGAATATGTGGGAATATTCTAGTGCTAGCAGATGTTTTATAACTAAGCATATTCAACTCAAGCGCTATACCTCTGGTGTAGCGCTTGAGGCAAATGAATCTAGCATTACAGAAACATTCATTTAATTTAATTATTCAGAACTTAAATTCCTCCCGAACCTGACTCCGGCACTCCTCAGATTATGAATGAAATTGGAATTTCAGTCGGAGCAGCGAATAGAATGTGCTCCGATATTTAAATATCTGTTGTTAATTTAAATTAATTTGTTAATTTATTTAGCTCTTTACATTTAATTTAATTTCTGTTCTTTATTATTTTGTTTAATTTCACTTCTCCAGACAGCCATTCACAAAGATTTCCAATTTTAGATATTAAGCCCTGTACTTATTCATCTGTTATCGCTATAATGAATGCCGATTACAATAAGTTATAGAATTTTAGGTAAAAAAAAAATTTCACCCAAAAAGTGAAGCAATGAATAATTTAGCTCATAAAAAGGATGTTTCACTCACCTGGTAAGCACATGGTGTTGTTGAAAGGGACGTGATAAGGCTGACAAGTACACACCCTTTTATCCCAGTCACAATGACTATGCGGAATATGAACTAGGCAGTCAAAAGATGATCGACACGGCTGATATAATTCAATTTCTTGTGGTAGTATATCTGTTAATAAAAACACCGTTTTGTGTATTAATGCAACTTATTTTCAAATAGCAGATTCAGAACTGAATATTGTTGTTGTGAATATTTTCAGAAGAGAATATATGTTGAGGAACAGGTTAAGAAAACTGAGAAAATTGTTTCCTCTTGTACAAATTCGTCTAAAAGATATTTATTTTCTAAATATGTTCTTCGTCGTAACGGTATTTATTTATACATTTTACTTCTCTTGAGTAATTTTCAGGTTTTTACCAATTTATAAAAATTAATTCTAGAATGTTTAACTATTCAATGAGAGTTTTCCTTAAAGTATTTGTTGATATTAAAACAATTTTAAAAAATGTAATAAATTCACCTTCTAGGGTAATTAGAATAATATGTGTCACTTTTTGTCAGAAAATAGTTTCCTATTCGCCTGAGACGATGGTTTCACGCATGATATTTGCTTTAAGTAGTTAGTTTTTGTGGGCTTTTCTTTTAAAATAATGCGTTTGCCAATAGCAGTTTGATAAAATGAAATGCTGATAATGCCACTGACGATATTTTGAGTTGCTGTGTCCGTAATAATTATGGCAGCGCCATATTATGTTATTATAAAAGTGCTCAAGCTGCTGACGGAATGCTCAAACATAGCGAAAGTTTTTTCAGGGAGGGATTACGCACTAGAGCCAAACTGTTTAAGAACAATGTGTTATTATGCAAATGAAAACAACTAATGAAATGTACACATCTAGTTTTTTAATTGGGAAAAATAAAGCTTGATAATGGGCTCTACTAATTAGCATTACTCTTACTTTTCAGTTAAGAAATGCAATGGAATTGTACGATTTGGAGAAATGTTAAATTGTCATAATTGGGCAAGTTTATATGAAAACTTCGGAGATGGCAATGCTTGTTAGGCTCACTCAATCAGCCACCGTAGGTACCTTAAAAAAATTAGAAAACCACGAACAGCCGAGGAGGCACAGTACATCTATGGCTTGTCAGTGCTAGAGGAAAGTAATGATTATGTCATCTGACATAAATCAAAGTTTTTTTTTTTTTAATTAGCCTTGCGCCAACTACAAGGGCCGGAAGTGGTGGTCATTTCATTATGGAAGCACCTAACAGGTGGCCACCGTTGCCTGCTATGAAGGGGACGGATAGTTACAACTATGCCTTCTCCAGGATTCGAACCCGGGCTCTTCGCTATACCGGTTGGACGTCACACGAGCCAACATGTAAATGATAAAGTAAGAGCCAAAGTAAGTGGACACGACTCACCCATGATTTTTAATACTGAAGATGAGAATAATAGTTTACAAAATTCTATTTATCTAACATGAAGAATTCAATGTGTTGCTGTTCCCTTAAAATTCTTCAATCCAATCAAAACTCTGGGTGCGTGTTGGTCAGTCCGACTTGCGGCGTATTAACGGCGTAAACGAGTTAAAATCTTATCATAAAGGATTGAATCGGATGAGCTTTCAAGATCATAAGATCTAAGACAGCTTTCGAAATTCTGTAGCAGACATTCCTCTATGTATAAGAGCTTTTAGGATAGTAATATGGAGGATTAACATCATATTATATTATATGATTAACATCATATATATGATATTTTGGATATCCGTTATAACAATGTTCAACAAGTTGAATTAAACAAATTACACTGCAAATAAAAAAAATCTTAACTAAGTTCAGTAAAGATAAACATATGTCAAACACAAGTAACATGACGCATATGGAACCAAGAAACATTTGATTGTAAACTTATGCAAAAATAGTATTTTTTGTCTTATCAAAAATTGGTAATCTTGAAGGAAGTATTCTTGAATGATCTCTCAATCATTTTTAATGAGTAATGTTATGTGATTTCTGTGATACAATGGAGACAAGCTACAACTAATAAAAAAAATGTGTCTCTGAATTAGCAAATGAGAATTAATTTTTAAATTGCTTTCCTTTATATTTTTTCAAAATATAAAATTTTTTATTTAAATGCTAATTACAAATTATTTGAATGTGTAATCGAAAATATAGAAGTATGGTTATATTTATGCTAGATAATTTTAGCAAGCATACGTTTTCAAGCAGTAAGTGAAAAAAAAAATCTTTTATTTCACAATCTTTGATCTCTTACTTTATACGGAATTTTCGTCTCATCTGCAGTGCGGGCAATGACTTTATGATATAAATGAAATAGAGATAATTCTTGAATGCTTAAGTTAGGTACATGTTGACATTTTGGAAATTCACTTTGATAAATTTAAAAGTTACTTTAAATTATGTTGTTTTACATGTAGCTAGAAATTATTCAGTTACAATGAAAGCTTTAAGATACGTTATTTAAAGACAGACTTACCGAAGCCTCTCATGACGTGAGATGCTCTTCCTCTTTTTGTTTGGAATGCTAGAATTTCCTGGAAAAAAGTGAATGCTGGCATCTGTAAGTAAAAGAAATATAGTTTACTCGCACATGATTTAATTATGATGAATGTTTTATCGGTTGGCCTAAGATAAACTAAACCCAAAACAAGTAAAATCTTCCGTGTCTGCTTCGGTTTATGTCGAACCACCTGATAATGCATTAATAATAATGATTCAAATTTTGTCTTAGTATAAGACAAAATTTGAATGCATTTATGATTCTAAAATTCGTAACATTCTGATGATTATTTTATCGGGTTGCCTAAGATAAACCGAACTCAGAGCAAGTGAAGTCTCCCATGGCCGTTTCGGTTTATGTTGGGCCACCTAAAAATACATTATCTGAGTATCAATATAAGACAAAATTTGAATGCATTTATGTTTCCAAAATTCGTAGCATTCTGATGGTCATCATTAATCACTGTATTCATTAATAGTTGTTTAAAAACTGGTCATATTTAACAATAACTAGGTAGGAAATCTGACTACTATTTATTTATTTATTTATTTTAAAGGCACAGTCAACATATTCAAGGAAACTTCTTGCTGACTTTTCACATGTAACGAACAATTAAGCACTCTCTCAAGCGTTTTGGGGGCCACAATTCAGTATCATCGTTCATTGTGTGCAAACGCCTCCTCCTCTTTTTTTCAACACGAAGAAATGATGGATGTTGAGAAATTAATTTGTTTTGTGTTCAGTGAACAGTGAAAGCGGGATCAAGAACTAAATCTTAAAACAACAAAAATAAGAGAAACAATTTATGGGAAAGACTGTAGAGTAAGATGGGAAAATTTATGGAAAAGGTGTTGAATGTTGGTAAGAACTTAATTTTCATTTGCTTTAAAATCAATGAATGTCTACGCAAATACTTAACTGCTCATGGAAAACTGATTTCTGTAATAATGGTTTTGGTTTATGAATAAAATAGTTATAATACGAGGGCTATCCAGAAAGTAGATTACGTTTTGGAATAAAAAAATAAACAAAGTATAGGAAACAAATTTTATTATATACAGATGAAAGCCACACTCAAATACTACTTTTCTACATAGTCACCATACAAATTAAGGCATTTATCGTAGCGATGTACGAGCTTGGAAATTCCTTCGTCGAAAAATTCGGCCGCCTGCGCCTTCAACCACTTCGTTACCTCTTCTTGCCTTCCATCTTGCACAAAACTTGTGGTAACCAAGCTTTTCGCTGATGATTTCGTGCAACAAACTTCGCGAAATTTGTGAAAAAACTCAAAGAAAGTTCCGTTATTGTGAAATTTCGATTTTCACGGACTTTAGCATCGACTTTTTCGAGAAGTTCGGCGGTCACTATGCTGGGTCTCCCACTTCGATCTTCGTCGTGAACATTGCTTCGGCCATTTTGAAATCTTATGACCCACTGACGCACTCCACCTTCAGTGATAATGTTGTCCCCATACACTTCACGAAGCTGCCGATAGATTTCTATCGGTTTACAGTTTTTTGCAGTCAGAAACCTTATTACTGAGCGCACCTCGCAGCTCGCGGGATTTTCAATTAACGCAGACATTTCAAACCGTCACAGTATCTGAACGGAGCACAGCACGAACCTCTCACTAGCACGGCTAGATGCAGACTGAGCTGCGCAACGCTCTGACCCCAAGATGGCCGCGCTAGCCCCGCCCCTAGCGGACACAGACGGAAACGTAATCTACTTCCTGGATGGCCCTCGTATTATGTTCAGTTTCGTTTAAATAGTTTGACAAGTCATTTCTATTGAATATTTGAACTTAATGTTTCTAAGCTATAACTGCAATTGTTTTTTTTTATATTCGTATTATGCTTTTTATTATAATGAGAAAACTATGAAAGTAGAATTGTAAGAAATTATCTCATTTCCTCGTGTGTGCTGTATGTGGTTAGCACGTCCACCTAGGATTTCGAAGGCCTGTGGCTACCTGCCAGGAAGGGAAAAATTGAGCATTTATATTTTTGATTTCGAAAAGCTAATGGTTTCTACAGCGGAGCAAGCTAAAACGTCGTAGATGATAATTCGTTACAGGCTATATTTATTCAAATGGGTCTCACGTCTTTCCCCACAAGTCCTTTAAATGAGCAAAGAATGAAGGAATTATCGCATTCTCATCTGTGCACTCTTGTGGTTTAACAGGTTAGCCTGTACAGCTAGCTACTCGAAAATCCGTAGTTTGAATCTCGACAAGAGCGCAATTGATTTTTCATGTTTGCTGGTTTCGAAAAATCTAAACTTCTCCACAGAGTCAATGCCTTTTTTTCGCCATTTGATACAAGTCTACATATTGTGCCACGTAACAATGCAGAAGCATAACTATTTGCGTCGGTTGATATGTACACACGACCGCATATGAAATTCTCGCAGTTTCTTGATGTCAAAGAAATAAATATTTTTAATGGTGTTTTTCACAGTTGCTCACATCCGGAATCATGACTGTGATATTCGGTGTGTACTCTATTTTGAATAATACAGATAATTTTGAAATTATTTTGAGCTGTACCCTTTTTTCTCGGGAACTCCATTTGTCAACAGAGTAGATTTCTCAGTTTGAATATATTTGCAATATTGCATTATCGAAACACTTTAAAAGTTCTTCAGCAGTTAGTTAAGGTGAATTTAATATTCTACATTCAAATTGAGGGGATCGTGGTGTCGTCATGTTCTATTCACAACATTATCGGGAGTTAGGTGTTAGGAGTTTTGCATTCTGTTTTATTCGTGCAGTATTATTAATTGCATGAATCTAACTACTGAACTAAAGGGATCGTTCTTTCTTCTTTCTAATATCTTCATACAATCGTTTGTGCTTAAGCCGAGACATGTTATCATCTCTGCGCCTTAAGAGCAATACATCTAGAAAAGTTCTGAAAATTCATTTAACTTGTCCAGAGTTTAATGAAACACTTTTCTCTCAGCTGTAGTCTGAAAGTAAATATAATATGGCAACTTGTTTAACACAAAAGGATTATCTACGTCTTGTAGGATGCCTATTTAAGTACAAATACTAGTAGTAATGGTAGTATCGAAAAGGAAGCTGGTTCCTACTTATCTTATATGTCAGGAAAAAAAAATGATAAATACGCAGATAGTTAGTTCAGCAATCAGATCGAACTCGAAGCGAACTATCAGTTTTCTGCTTCTTTAAGTATAAGCATGTATCTTCCTTTGTGCAAAGTGAATACAAAATATTTCCTTCGGAAAGCCATCCTTGAAGGCGTCCTTCTTTTTACGCAGGTAGCACGCTTTGTCATAATCGATTAAACAAGCATACAAACAATAGTAGGTTGAACTTAACAGAATTTTCACCCATTAGTAGCTGAACTGTTAAACATATTAATTATTTGAAAGTAAAAAACGTGTCGTTGCTAAGATAGTTGAATATCGAAATTTTAATATAATCTATCGTTATATTCGATACAAGTAAATAGCATAGAAAGTGAAATGCAAGTAATTAATTGTAACATTGTAAATAGTTGCTCCTGTATATAGCCTATATCTTAGTTATCTGAAGCAAAATCTAGTATTTAGGATCAGAAAAAATTCAAGAAAGTACGAAAAATCGTTCATCTTCCCGTTCGAATATTAGAGAGTGGTATAGGAACTATTAGAAAATAGCTTTGTGAGGAAACAATTCGTGTTGAATAAACGAAAGCCTGATCGAAATTTGCTCAGAATTTTGATATTCCATGGACGTATTAAAAGTTAGATTTTATTTTTAAGGAACCCTTCTACACCCAAGGTTGAAACAAATTTTTGTAAAATTATCTAACATATTTTAGGAAACTGTATAACTACAAGAAATTTCTGAACTAGGATCAAAACGTATGAAAATAAAATCTATATCCCTTTTTGTCAGACATCTGCTATGTGCACTGAAATACTCATTTTATGGTGCATTTAAAATACGATTGCATTAAAGCATAGATCATTTTGCATGTACATTTCCTCCTACATATGTAAAGTTGTTTTGTGCGTAATGCTTTAAAACTCATATTTTAGTGTAAATATTTGTACAGAAATTGTATGCCAAACTTCGAGCAATTAGTAAGATTAACGCCCGATTATCTCTGAGTAGATTTCCTGTTTTGAGGTGAACTGTTAAAAGAAAAAAGATAAGAATAATTTAGAAAATTGAAGAAAGTAAAATTAGAAAAATTAAAACCTAAACTATTGTAAGCGACGATCACTCTTCCCTTGCCATGAAACTGAAATTTTTAAAAGGAAAGGATGAAGTTACTACAATTTGTGCTATTCCGCAATATATAATGCTGAAGGCATGTTTGGTCTTTGCTTGTCATTGCGGTGTTTAATGTGGTATATTGTAGGTGTATTTGCGTGGAAGACTTAATTGCGACAATTGTTTAAAGTTTTCCTTTGTGTGAAGTACCGACATATTTTTAATATCTGTTTTATGAATTGCTCACTTCTAGGACTTTTTCTGGATGTTTGATACTAGTTTATAACAGAAAGACTAAAATTCAATCAACCATCTAAACCACAAATATTTTGACAATCAAACGAGAACCAGATTCAACTGCTAAGGTAGCAAAAGTAACGTCTTTTTCTGAGTTAGCCAGGCTATGTCAATTCCAGGGTTCAAGAAATAAATAAAGGGAGAATAAATGATGAAATTAGAGCAAAGCGGTGCTAAGGAAGTGGTCTCAAATAGAGAGATAACTGGCTAAAACTTTTCTAAAGAAACCTTTATGTTTGCATGATTAGTTAGGCCAATCAAATAATCAGGTGGCATTTCTATCTCCGTCGCAATTTACATAAAGAATGTATTATATTTTCATAATGCTTCAAGCACTGGAAATCATTTAATGCATTTTCATACTAAATGGCATGATTTAAAAAACATTGTGGTATGCAATGAATTTGACAGCTATAATGTAAATGCAACTATTTAACAGCCAAATCATTGCTTACAGAATCTGGAGTCTACACGATGTAAATGGAAGACTTACTTCTTGATCATATTTTAATGCACACAAGACGAAATTTACTTTAAAATGTATATTTTTTTAATGATACTTTGTCTTCTTCGTGTATTATCTATTCTAAACGCTTCCCGAAAAAATTGTAATATTGCATCAAAAGAAAGAGATGCCAGGCTTTAACCAGCCTGAGTCAGGATACTATAATCGACTTGAGTCAGAGTAGATAAATCCGAATGAAGCCATTTTTCATACAAAAGGCTAAAAAACTGGCAGTTGACTATCGAAAACTATCGAAATTAAGAAAAAAGCTGTCCAACAGCACAGGCTTTTAGATCAATTAAGCTTCGCTATTGAGTGTCTTTTCCGTCACGTCTGTTTTAAAGCTTGTAGAGACATTAGGTTAATTGGAAGCAGGAGTGATTGAAAAATTAGCAACGCCTTCGCTGGGAATCGAACCATGGACCTCTGGATACGCGCCCAGCGTGCAGACCACTACACTACGAAGGCATGCTAAGAATGCGGGAGAAATACCTTATATACTCCCCCTTTTAAAGGGCGACTGGGGTTTTTTAGGGGGCGCAATAGACAACTGCTGGGTCTGGAGAAACATCATCCACCACCCTTTTAGTTCGGATGCCACTGTAGTGTTCCAACCTAGAATTTACAGCTTAATGTAGGGAATTTTAAGAACTGGTAAGCGAATAATCGCTTAGTTCAGAAAGATAGAAACGTAAACGTACGAAGGGTTAATTACCCTCAATTATTCAACATAAATTTAACAGTTGACTCCTTCTTGGACTTTAGCAAAGCCTCCACTTGGGCTTGAACTCAGGAATACTAAGAATAAAACTTAACGCAAGAGATATAGCCGAAGTTATCAAGATTTTACAAGAGTTGGCCCCTTAACGCTAACTAAACGGTGGAGCTCTCAAGGGCCTAAAGTACGGCCGAGCGTAGAAACAGCTTTAGAGAGAGTAGCCTAAAAGGCGAACGAGCGCGCGTCAGAATCTGTGGCTCGCTAACGAAGTCAGTAGAACTTCAACTTTAAATACTTGCTCTTCCTTCATTTGCATTTAACCACGATTCTGAAAATACGTTCTGGCAGGAAATTGTAAGCTGAAATTAATTAGGAAAGTGACTTTAACTCAAAATTAACTGTTAAAAAATTAAAAATTAGGATAAACCTTACAAACTTAAAAAAAAAAAAAAAAAAAAAAAGGAAATTTATATTGAACATAAGAACATATTAATAAAATCAAACAATTAATTTAATTAATTCTTAGTATGTTCTCTGGCTACAAATGTTAACAGCTTGATCTAATTCCTCTTGGATTGCACAAGTGAAAAACAAATTTTTATCGTATTCAGTTCTTTTTCGAGAGGTGATTTAAAGCTGTATTTAGTCTAGCATTTAAAATTTTAAAATAAGGATAAAGAGTAAAAAATTTGTTAGACTTACAATGATTATTTACTATTTCTACAAAAATAAAAAATTATTGAGTTTTCGTCCAAATTATCAAATTAAGATGCAAAACGAGTTATTACTCACCAGTAAGAACGTCAGCAAAGAAGGCAGAGAGAAACCTAATTTCATTTTCTTCACTTCAGATCTAGAAGGAAAAATATAACTTTTAATAAATTAAATAAAAAATTTTGTTTTAAGATTTATTTAAATTTTCACTCAAGAGATGAAATTTCAAAAAAGCTTCACTTTGAAAAACAAGGATTAAATACTTATTTAAAGTATCCTGTAAATTTAAATCCTTGGATATAAAACAGTGAAAAATTTCTAATTTGATGCATACGTGAAAATTTAAAACTACCAATAGAAGCTCTCGATATCAAATTCTATTTTGAGGCCGGATACGGATATTCCTTGATTTAGAATTACTAATAAGTTCTTAACTGAAGAATAGAACTAAAGACTTACGAATGAAGAAATGTTACCAAAATTAGAAACAAGAAAATCATCTTAACTGGGAGATAAAGCTGTGTAAAATTAAGAAAGAGTAAACATATATTTTTTTATTATTTTATTTTGGACATAGTTTTAATTAAAATAAGGAAAATTTAAATGAGATAAGAGACTCTTTTACCATTGTTTAACTGTAAAATAAGTGACCAGCATAGCAACACAGTAAGTTTTATTGCCAATAGAAAGTTTAATTAGTCCTTAATTAGTTTAATTAGGTTATAAGAATAACCCTTAAGATGATCTATGAAGACATCAAGTGCAGTCCAGGTAACTTTCTTTGATGCTAGTTATACCCTAAAATCAATTTGCGCTTGTAAACATCAGATTAGTGATAAAAGAGTTTTACATTATTACAGATTCTCTTGACATTACACCTTTACCTCTGCTTTAGAATTAATTCGTACATAATTGCTGCCAATACAGCGGTAGAGCGGTTAACGAAGCAGACTGCTATATCGTTGGGCCCGGGTTCGAGTCCCGGAGAAAGCATGGATGTTTGTAAATGTAAAATATGTTTGCGGCATGGAGATATTTAAAATACGAGCTACACGAAAGTCCTCTCGGATGGTTGGGGAAGAGGGATAAAAAACTTTCGGATCCGTCCCCGGGGTGTTCATTATCGAAATCGGGCGGAGCCGCGCAGTTAGTGAGGTTGATTATACCTGTAAGACAAGTTGTGAAATTCTGGTGTACCTGTATTTGTACATAAATTATTTTCAAAACATCAAGATGCTTTTTGTAAGATGAGATTAATGGATGGCAGTTTGTGTAGAAATTAGTTGTTAATAGTCAAGAAATTTAAAAGTATAAAAAGAGTCAAGCAAATTTCAGTAAAGAAATAATTGCAACTGTAGTCCATAAGAGTAGAAATGGCTATAAATATCTCTGAAGGATTATATACTTCTTTCAAAACTGTCTTCTAATTTTTTTAAAAAAAATCAGCAGATAAATGTTGGATGTTCTATGGAAATTTTCAGTAATTCCAGGTGGCTAAATGAATATATAATGCATCATACTCCAAAAGTAAAATAATTCATGCTGTGAATTAATTTGTTAAAAAGTTATTTCATTGGAATTACGTATCTCGAGAAGAATTTCATTATTAGAAACTATTGCAAAGTCATAATTTTGATCTAGCTTCCATTCCAGACGAACAGATTGACTGCATGGGCGTTTCCATGGTTTTCGGGTCATGCGTCAAGTAGATACTAACAAGTTTCCTTTAAAAAGTCCTCCAAGAAGGCATCTCTCTTCTTAAACAAATAGCCGTAGCGCGTTTTGACAGAATCAAATAAGCCACAAACAGTACAGAGGTTAGCGATGCTGGCTACTATATCTTTGCGTACGGGTTCGAATTACGGAGAAGGTTTGGATGTTTGTAAGTAAGTTAGGTTTTTGCGTCATGGAAGAACTTTAAAAAACATGTCAAGCTAAAAGACCTTTTGAGAAACCTGGTGGTAGAGAAAGAGGTGTGGGAGACCCTTGGATTCGCCCCTCATGGGGGGGGGAATCTTCTATGAAATTTGAACGTAGCTAGACAAAGTCGTGTTATCACCAATATGTTATTATATTGTATTGTCATCTATATGCAAAGTCATGCTGTTACCTATATGTTAGTACGATCTTCAAGAACCAAACTAACGTAATCCTGTACCTCTTGCTCTACAATTCAAAATCCTGTTCTTCAGATTTCACTAGAGATTTCTATCGAAAGTATTATTAAAGGAATAAAAGAAAAGTTTGAAGAATTCTCAAACAGCTAAAACAGACTTCAAAATAGGAAAGCTAAAATTTTCATCAGTTTGAAAGGAAGTAATATAGAATCAGCAACTATGCTCATTTAACAAGAATTAGCATATAATGTTTTAACACTGTACATAAAAAATCAGACAGGTCCATTAAAGGCACATTATTCAAGACATATATGTGAAGAAATTAAACTTAGATAAGAAATTTACTTTTCAGTTTCTCATTTTTCGGAACATAGTACGTACGTCCATAACCTAATGCGTCCATAACTTATTACCTTCTCTTCTTCCGTTCTTTAGTAACATTTTAAACATATTGTGACATTAGTTGAACCCAACTAGTTATTGGCTCAAAATGACTTATTCAATGGCGAAATTAGGATTTCCTGTTTTGTCATTTTATTGCCGGGAAGGCAAAGTATTCATATGAAATAAAAACATTCATTGTTCTTTTGCAGGTTAATCTAGGCTGAAATGAATAGCTGAGCGCCAATATTAAAAATCGGTGTTTATTACTTGATAAGTATAAATTATCTTCTCTTAAAACTGATATACATTTTTGTTTTCCTTCAACACGACTTCCCGTTTCGAGACTGTATACATCACAATTCGACTTTTCGTAACAATTGAATTTTTATCACTAAGAAGATCTTTTCCTTAAAAATTTAGTTAAAATGTGTAATGGTTCAAACGCTCTCAACGGTTAAATTTATAAGGACTAATAAATTAACATAACAATAGGGATGACAGTTCTATTCTTCTTTTCCTTTCCATTCCGCTGCACATTGAAGAAAGTTATGTCATGCTTTATGAGTCATACTTTATTCATAAAACAAAATTATGATGCCTTCGCAAAAAGCGACAAGCTTATTTCATTTTTAATATTCAGAAGCGTTTGTTTTGCAGTGTTTAAACCACTTTGTTTTATCACAAGCTTAAAGAACCGGAAGAATCACATTCTTTTATTACCCTGCGCATAAATTTTACGCTTCCTCTTTTTATCACAGTATAGTAATATTTAAAATATATCTCTGAGGCGTTATTTTTCAAACTGAGTTACGCTTGTTAATCATGAATATTTTACAAAGATTGATTTTCACTACATCCATAGATTTCAGACATAAACAAGAAAGTAAATACGGTAGATGTTCAGACTGCATACTTAATGAAGCTTGAATAAAGTATATTCTGAATCTATTAATTTAATTACTTAACGAAATAAGGTTCATTTTCATAAATAATTTACATAATTTACATAATTGTGAAGAGTAACGTTTGAAAAAGAAGCCTTTTCTCGCCTCATTATTTTAGCCTTATTTATTCATATAATAAGATATTTATTCATATAATAAGATTTGATAAATAAATTTTGAATTTCAGTGTTAATAATGCATCGTAATTAACTTTCAGTTTTATTATAGTAAAGAAATATATTTTCATGTTATTTTTTAAATATTTTTTCAAAAACCGTAAGAACTTCATGTGCATGGGGAATACATTATTGTCGTTATCTATGTACTTTATAGTGGTATTGTTCCTGCTATAATTTTAGCGGACACAATAGCGGTTTTTGTCTAAAATTTTCAGCTTTATATAATCACTTGCTGCCCTGAGAGAGATATTAATTTTAAACAAGTAAAACCTAACAAGTGAAACGAATTTAGATAACACTAGACCTATACACAAAATGCTTTCGGTTTTGATTTAGTTGATTATGGCAAAGCACATTAGAGCTATCTGCCTAAGGGAAGGGTATACACCAAATGACTGATAGTTTTTGCCAACTGCCAGAGAGTGAATTAATTACTCGACAGCGTCTCTTTCATGGTTCAAGTTGGTTTGTTTTGACTATGGAAAAGCAAATAAGGGCTAATGCCCCCCTATGGGTATGGATGCCTTTCTGGAGGATATTTTAAGGGAAACCGACTCGTATTCATGTTACACTCCGGGAATACCACGAAAACTCCCATGCAGGTAGTCAGTTCACCGTTTTTTTTTTTTTTTCTTTTTTTTTTAAGAAGAGCTCTGAATGTTCTGGAAAGCTGAATGCGAGATTTGTGATATTCTATGATTGGTTTAAAGTAGCTGAGAAAGCCGCGCTATTTGTGTTTCAGCTGGAAGTCATATTCAGTTAGACACTTCAAGAGTCGATTTGTGTTTACTTCTGTATTTGCATTTAATTTTTTTAATTTGCATCATGCGAAAGTCGAAATCATACTTTATTATTATTAACTGCTTTTAAAGCTTTGGGATAATTGATGGCAAATTAGTTGCTACTGTCAGTATCTTACTCGAGATCTTGCTAGAAATCCACAAGTAAGATTTTGCTATCTCGTAGGAATACAAGCTTTGACTAAAATTCGAATGCAGGACCTCCTTTCCAAGCAAAGAAATATTCTACTCTCTAGCTTTCAGAGCCGATGACCAGCTTCGGATATTTTCTTTCCGAATTATTGATTGTAACGGAATTATAACTTGAGTGTTATCGCAAGAGGATGAGTTCTGACTGGATGTACAACACATTCTTTTTCTAAATGGGAAAGGATTAGTCCTTACAAAAGCAATAGAGCTTATGTGTTTTATTGCTTCCTGAAGGTTTATTGTTCAACCACCATTATATTAAAAGGACGGCCTTCAACTTGGGCTAAAAGTACTACGATCTCTAAACACTGTTTTGTCCGACTCAGGTTCAAATTCCGGTGATTGGGCTGGGTGCAAGGGCATTTTCATGGTTCTCCTCACCTATAACATGCATACAAGCCAGTTTCCCTTAGAAATTCTTTCACTAAGGTATCCTTCCCTTCAGGTAGATTCCCTCCCACGCTTTGCCATAGTTAAATAAGTCGAAACAAATTCCTCCTCAGAGGCATTCTACAGGTTAATTGCT